AAATTAATATTTAATACAATTTCTGAATGCAATTCCCTTTGAGTAATCTTTAACTAGTCATTACAACTTGAATTTGAATGTCTTTACAGAGAAAGGATAGTTAACATAATTACGTTTATACTTTCATATTGTTAAAAATTCCTTTAAATTTTACTGAAATATCACATGCAACTTTTGAATTTAATATGAGAATAATTAGGACATAATTAAATTATTTTAGTTGATATTAATATATTATATTACATAAAACTCATTAAATTGCATATAATAAAAATTTCCATAGATGACGAAATTATTTTATTTAAAGTAATGGTAATACATGATAGATACAAAGTTTTTCATGGTTGTGCAAGGTCAAAGTATGTTCAATACTTTAAAATATTATTCCAAATATATTTGGCACTGAAATATGTATCTCATAGAAAAGATATCTCTTATCTTTGATTTTAAGAATTTTCATGTGAACATTTATGTAATTTACATCCATGAAATTCGATGTAGAGTTATACGTATTTGAACTTTAGTTTTGCTATTCGCTAGTTTTGCATTAATATTGAAGCAAAAGAACAATTTTTCCAAATTTCCACAAATAATTTCCATCAACCAATTTAATTGTTCTTTTGATGGAAAAATATGAAAACATCACTATAAATATTTACTGAATCTGAATATTTTCATTTATTATATGCATATAAAATATTGAGTGAACTACTAATCATGTTTTTTTATTTAAATTGAGAAAATTCTTTGAAATCATACTTGCTTTGTATGCATTTATTTTATTTTATCTACAAAACTATAATAAATAATTTTTTTTATTACAATATACTTATTTTGGATAATCAATCGTTTCGTGCATATTCTTGATGAGAAATTTGTCCAAATAAGTCGGCCAAGTTATTCCAGATTTGTCATGTGCTGAATATATGTATGCTGAATATAGATAATATCTGTATTTGTCTTGTAGATAACTGCTTGTGGGGTCAAGTTTTATTTTTTATGCTACATTAACAATGGTTTAACAGGCTGAAATTCTCCTATATTTTTATTTGTATTCCTCGAGGTTGCCATAAACAAAATATTTTTAATTATTACCCTTATCTTATTATAAGCTGTACTCATCAAGAAATATAGTAGATAATGTCTTATCAAGTTATTTTCTTCGAATCCTAGGGAATTAAATAAAAGTCTGTGCGATCGTTGACGTTAAAACATTTCATATGTATATCACACGTTTTGAGAACGGACCTTATAATTGTATACTTTGTGTTGATTTCCTCACTTCATATCGAATCATATTTACTTTAAGATTTTTTCATTAACTAATTTATATTTTCCTAGTCTTATATAATGTAGCCGCAATGCAATCTGACATTTTATTCATAAAACTGTGTCCAAATGATCACAATTCAAGATTCACATGACATGATTCTGCGCACGGCGATCACGATTGCATGTGATGGTCTGTATAAGAACTCTGAACTTGCAACCTGTCACATGTACAGTCTGGAAATGGCAATGGTATGCCCTGTCTCATGCAAAATTCTGATGGAGGCCAGATTTGGTATTGGTTTATACAGGTGAACGACAATGCAGCAGGGGTCAGATTGGGTCGGTTCGTCGATAAAAGAGCATGTTTCATGACTCTACCCCCGATGAAGCACTGCCCATCGTGCTGTGAAATGCGTAGTCCCATCTCTGGTGATGGCGGATAGGTAGCCCACGAAGGGAGCCATGAAGGAAAGTTATGGCCGAGGGACAGGCAGATAATCCCAGGCGCCCGAGCCGAAGAGGAGCTCTGGGGGAGATTCTCCTCTAAATTTCGGATGCCACCGGCGGCAACTGTGTTCATAGCGGCTGTACCACCTTATCCAGCGAGTCCAAACCGGGGCTTCCCATGAATGGAGATCGTGAGCACAGGATGGTCCGTCCGTCCGATGTGCTTCCTATTCTTGTTCGGTTCCGAACGTCCACGTGCTTTTTGACATCACTCGACATTCGGAGGCGAGACAATTAAGCTTCTCGATCTGAGCAGCCATACCTCGATCCAACGGCACAGAACGGCTGAATCTGCCCTTTACCGCGTCCGGGGCTTTGAAGTACAGCTGTTGTACCCAGATGTTCTTAAAGGGTTTCGACCGGAGATAGCGACGAGCGGTTTGCCTACCCTCCTCGCGTTGCTGTCGATCCTGACCGTCGCAGACTCGATCGAGCGGCCACCGTTGCGAGTGCTGTGGAAATTCCAGAATGTTCGTCCTCCCGTCCTACGCCCGAGTCCCTCACTTCCATGGGCGGCCTGCGTACGGAGGTACGACGACGTCCTTGGTTGCAGATCGTCACCGATCATGATACAAATAAATGATACCCTGTTCCTGTACTTACGTGGTCACACTGTGTCTAGACATGGCACACCTTCGGCACTTACTTCCCTAAAGCTTTCCTTCGGTACCTCCATCCGATCCCAGATTCTGTATATGATCCCGGTGCTCACGCACTAGTGACAATCTTGCGTTTGATTCCTCGCGGATTTCGGAAGAAAAATGCGCATTTCGTTCTATCTCCATTTTGGCGGATTTTCCTAATCGCGGAGTGTGGTCTAGAGCATGTGCTGTATTTGGCGGTTTTAATTTTCAATTTCGCCAGAAGGCAGGAGGTGGGAGACTCACAAAGAAAGGAAAAGGTTTGTATGAAAGTTTGGATGTCAGGCTATCATGAGGAGAAAATTGAAGATATGTCACGATGGGTCATGAATGAGCCCGGTTTTCGAGGCGTACCCTATCGGTGTTCATCTTGACGAGAGGTCATCCCATCTTGGATATGAGGTATTGTATGTTGTATTGGAGATGGTGAAGCGGGGGCAAAGTGGATTACGAGAAAGGATGGGAAGACCACTTGAAAATTCTAGGGTGCATGGTCAAGACCACTGCACTGAGTCCAAATCCGGCAGCCCCTAGAATTGTAAAGCTTTTAGATAGAGCGCTAGCGCGTCATTTTTATACTCTCACGATACTCCTGAGGAGATAAAGTGCAGGTGCGGTGCTTGTGTTCGTCTTGTCTCCAATAAGGTGTACGTTAGGCGTTCCTAATGTGGTCATCTTGTTCCCGGGCCCAACATTTCGTAGGTTGAAGATCGTGGATTCGTCGTTTCCTCAACTTAATGCACTTCCCGTTACTTTTGTCCGCAATTTGGTCCCACTCGAATTTCCTATAAATTTGGCGAGCATCCACCCTCGCGATCTGCATGGCTCGGGAGAATACCAGCGTCTGTATCGGGCGTCACCGGGAGGTGAGACAGACTGCCGTATTTTATCCCCAGAGCTTGTAACTTCTAGGGTTCGGAAATATATTCGTTACATTCCTTCACTATTAATGCGAACACATACTCTAAACAAAGATGATCTTATAGCGAGGTAGAGAATGATGCCGAGGCCAAAGATTTAGATGGCCAGAACTTGGAATCGCATTGTCGAGGCTCAAGTTGCAGAAGATTGCAGTGAGGCGTAACTGCGAGGACGGCTACCATCGGCCTTGACGTCGAGTTTTGCCACGGGTGTGAGGGTTAATATATGTCAAGGTGCAATGAACTTCTAGCGTGATCCATGAATGTTTCTCGTGCAATAATGTCAGACGTGTACCTGGATTTTCAGTTATCTCCGTCGATAAATGGAGGAAACAAAAGTCAAAAAAGATACTGTTGAGGATTCCTCAGGCTTTCCTCATCCACAACTTTTCGTGTGTGATCACTGTGATCTCAAATGCATTTTACTTATCAAGATACCTTTCGCTCCGCATCTCAGTCCACACTTGTCACACTATGGGCGTACGGTGACCCCTTTTGTACAGTAGCCGGACCTCCAAATCCCATCTTCTCTTGGCCCAGATTATTGCAGAGTATTTATCCTTCTGACACTAACACATCCAGCCGATGAATCGGAACTTCAACGATGAGGAGCGCGCACAATTTCTCCTGTATATTCTAAAAATCGGATGCCATATGCTTCAACCTTCGACGTCAGACCACTTCCCTTCCACGCAAACCTGCAACGTCTTCCCGAGCCCGGGCACTGGCAGCACAATGACATCCCTACGCTCTAGGGCCACAGGCACCGGCAACCGACAGGAGATTTCCGGTTTTCCGTACTCCTTCTCTAAGCGCCAATTCTCGGAATTCACAATCCAGACGCAGGTTCTGAGCTCCTGCTTTATTATCAGGAGCGGCCTGGCTCAGTCTGTCTCAGAGTACTTGAGGTCCAAAATTAACCCATCATGGGAACAAGATTACAATCCGCTCGGTAAACATTCCCGTCTACAAGAAGTGACTAATAATTCTCCAGGCTACTCTTCCCGCTTCCACTACAGGATTGTGTTTGGGATATTAACAAAAGAAAACGGTCCCAAGTTGCACCGCTCTTAATACATCGAAAATCCGAAATTCCATGAGCCTCCGTCCGAAGCGTGATAAATACAACAATCAAAGCTCGAGCGAGCTCCACAGTGGTATAGTACACCGGATGTCATTCGGATTCTGGACGCCGGTTTGCAGGAAAAGGAGAGAAAACCACGAGGCTTAAATTAAAGTTGGATGATGAGCCAGCCGGTGGGCGCTCCGGACGGTCGCGACCACCGGGAGAACTCGGGAAGGACCGGTCAGAGAACCGGAGGGCGACGGGAGCGCGTCTGCGGGGGGTCGCACGCGAAGGCCGTGTGGTTTGACTTCGTCGGGGCCCCGGAGGGACATGTGGCGCAGGGGCTCCAGATCCAGAGAAGGTCAAGGCTGCGGTCAACAGCGGGACGGGGAGCGGGCGGAAGGTTGGGGATCACCAAAAACAGTGAATTACAGCTCCATACTTTCCTGTGGCTCATGTGCCGGGGAGGGCCCTGCCCCATGTCCTACCGCGAGTCAGGCCCGCGTCAGATTCTGTCGCCTGTGGCCTCATTTCCCGGCTGCCCTTGCCCATCTTTCACACGGATTGAAATAGCGCTCGATCGAAGCGCAAATTACTTCTCACACCACTCTCCTCTGCTGCTGCGTCTGCCGCACCTGCACTGCTCTCCTTGTCCGTCTCGGAGCTCTCTCGCAGTCGCTAGGTTTGCACGCTCTGCTCCAAAGCTTTCTTGCCGTCCTCGTCCGGAGCAAACATGTCACCCACAGTGCAGGACGTCGAAGCACGAATTCAGGCCGTTATCGAGAAGAAGCCTGAGTTGAGCGGTGCGGTAGCTGCCAAGCTCGAGGAGCTTTTGGCGGATTTGGAGAATTTGAGCGTCGAGGAACAGAGCGAGGGACAGTCGGCCTTCGACAAGTTGAAGAATGGATTCGAGTCGTTCAAGAAGCAAGTGTACCTGAAGAACACCGAGCTCACCAGCAAGCTCAAAACCGGCCAATGGCCTAAGTTCATGATCATCGCCTGCGCCGATTCGCGAGTGTGCCCGACCCAGATCTTCAACCTGTCGCCCGGAGATGCCTTCGTCATCCGCAACGTCGCCAACGTGGTCCCCCCCTTCGAGAAGGAAGGAAACCCCAGCATGGGATGCGCCGTCGAGTACGCCGTCCTGCACCTGAAGGTCGACCACATTCTCGTCGTCGGTCACCGTGCATGTGGAGGAATCGGAGCTCTGGTGAAGATGGTGCCCGAAGATGGTGACTACAAGACCACCTTCATCGAGAGGTGGATGGAGATCGGAAAGCCCGCCCGCGCCATCGTCAATGCGCAATGCAAGGACGAGTCGGTCGATGTCGTGTGCAAGACCTGCGAGAAGGAATCCGTCAACAATTCTCTCAACAACCTCATGTCCTACCCGTTCGTCGAGGAGGCCGTGAACCAGGGCAAGGTGTCCCTACACGGAGGATACTACGACCACATCGAGGGAAGCTTCTCCAAGTGGGACTTCAACTCCTCGGCCTAAATTGTACCAGATAGTAAGTCTATTCAGTCAGTGGTCCGTAATTTTTAGGATCGAATGCCAAGTCGGTACTGAGACGGCAGAAGAGACCTGAGCTCGTTCCCAGCCGTTATCACCTGCATCATTTCATTTCGAGTCGAGAGTTTGCACAGTTCGAATAATTCAGATGAACTCTGTTGAAGTTGTGGAATCACGTTGCGCGGTGAGGGAAATCAGGCATCATAGCTCTCACCACGAAGTCCTGCCGTAGAGAGGCTAGTTGTAGTGGGACTTGTAACTTCAATCATGTCCATAATCCAGGAAGTCCAATTCACAATCCGACACGGACTCGCTTCAGATTTTATTGCCTTTTTGAATGTTTGTTTGCCCGTGGAGTCGCTCTCCGTCTGTCCATTTTCGTGGTCCGTAAATTTTGCTGTCAAATCATCTTGCTGCTCATTTTCTCAGTGATGCTCGTGCCGCCTTGCCCCAATTCATATCAAGGAACCGTTACATTTCTGATAGTTAAGAGGAAGAAACGCTCGTTGTGGATTGTCAGTTCTCCGATCATCAATTTGTCCTCGACTTGACAGCTCACCTCGTCAACATGATGGATAATTTTGCTGCTACCACTGTCGATGTTTGTCGGCCGAATTCTGGGATGGACGAACGCAGCGATTGTACGGCTGGATACTACAGATGTAGTGGACCGTGACCTGCTTGTCTGTCCGAGCCGAGTTTACTAGCAATTCCAGTCGAATCAGATGGAAGGTATAGCATATTGCGCCATAATTGTATGTCGAGAGAACGTGGAAGTGACAGATACGGAAATGGAACTTGTAAGTAAGTCAGGGTGGAGAAAGGGGAAATGCCCATTGAGCGAGGTCTCATGGAGTGGGAAACGAAGATGCACACATCCAGCTTGCGGATATGGTTTTCAGGAATGGTCGATAAGATTGCGTTCTGTGGTGTCAAGTGGAACGCGTGAACCCTAGCCAGGTATGTGGAGCTTTGGGCGGATGAAAGCTTCGGTTTTACACGACAAGCGACGAAGGCACCTCTACTGAAAGGTGCGGACAGTACGAGCAGGCTGAACTCCTCTCGAATGTTCGTTCGGGAGAAATTTCAGTTCATCGAGTCGTTGCGCAGCTCACAGCCCAGGAAGAAATGTGCGGTGATGAAATCTCTCGCGAAGCAGCCTGTCGAATGCGCAGGGGTAGCTGAACGGAACAGTTAAGGTGCCGTGAGCCAGCGGTCGAAAGTCGTTAGGCTCTTTTCAGCGTCGACATTTAGTGGACATTGATACGCTTCGCAGAGATGTCGACATCCCGTTCAACATGGAAGATCTGAATCTCGCATTGCTCCTATGAGTGAACACTCACTCGCGCCTTCGTACCGTACCACCCCCCGGTTCGCCGACCAAGCGCGACTCCCAGGTCTGTACAATTTCCTCCGGGCGAGCACACCTTCCCATCCAGGACCTGCGGGCCGCAGCAGGCCTCCCCTCTCACTTGTGCACTTTCCTTTCACCCGGTCAAAGACCAAGCGCATTCTCTCCTCCCCCGGTGCACGAAAGGTATGTTTGGTCGTTGTCAAAGCCGAGACGGAGTAGGTCGGGCTTCACCCACTGACCTTCTAGAAAATAGACTTACTGCTGCAGGTCGCAGGTCGTGAGCCGACCTCCACCTGGAGGGAGGGAGGGAGGGAGGGAGGGCTGGACTCCAGACTGGAATCAGATCTGGGAACGGATGCTGAGGGTAGGGCCATATTCCCGGGCTTCGAAAGATTTGCGGTGTGGCAGAAGCACGTGCTAAGGGTATATGGGAGGAGGCTCCTGGGGAGCACGGAGATGGAGTCATGGACTCGGTCTTGGCTACCAGGTTGCAGTACACACAAGTGTGGGGAAGATTTGGATACAGTTGGGAATCTGTTGACTGGCAGCATCGGTGGGAGTTTCAGTTGGCTAGTAGTGTGTGTATGAGCCTACGTAGGGTACATCCTCTGTTCATTTTCCCGAGCCAACATGTGCTGACTCCTAGAGGAAATCTGAGAATGTTAGCAGTAATCCATTCCGCCTTGAGTCACAAGCGAACGTTTTTTTCCACGGGGAACCTCTGTGAGCAGGAAAAACACGCGGGACCTCCATATGTACGAAATATTTTGTCAACGTCGAGAGAAAAGGAGAGGTAGTTGTACCTTCAGATTCCAACGAGATACTCTGAGGAAGGCCGGAACACTCTCTAGATTCCATTCTGGGGCTGATTCTGTCACTCGCATCATCCAGTGAGTTCCATCTCGTGTCCTTCATTTTGGCTTTTACTTAGACTAGCCTGTCCAAGGACTCCCGTACTCTGTTGCCGGTACCTCCCTCATTCAAGCGGGAACTGGCTCCAGCTTGCAAAGTTGGAAATAGCCGGATCATGCACGGGATCCGCAGACACTCACAGACCGTGTCGGTCGTTCTCCCGATCGATCGTCACCATCTTCTAGCACCCGGCCCGCGATGTGTTTTCAATGCGAGAGGAAACGTAACTGTCGAGTTGTAGACTGGCAGGGACCCGAAGGTATGTACCGTGCTCTGTTGTTTCGCCGTGGACGGTCCGGAGGGAGCTGTTGGGAGGTGCGGCTTAAAGGTGCAGGGAACTGCGTGCACATTGGAAGACTACAGGAGCGTGTCTTTTAGGGAGGCTGGCATGTGCTGCCATGGAGAGAAAGGACGGTGTGAGTGAAGGTCCGGCAAGCCTCGTGTTTTCTTCAGCCGTCAGTACGATTGCAACTCTTGTTTATCGTTTTTGCCGCGGCCTCCTGAGGTTGGTTGAAGACTTTCGTGCTCTCCAATCATAAAGGAAAATTGTTTGTTTATTTGTCTAAAGCTGTAAGACGAGGGAGGGCGATATCCGACAAAGTTTCTCCCTTTGTATTATAGGAACTCGGTCTTTCTTTCCGTGGGGCGTTGATCAAGGAAGTATCACTTGAGCTATCTATCTGTAGCTATCATCTGGATCGCATAGTGACCATCTTAAGGTAATGTCATGATAGCGGCAAGTACAGCAGGTAGCTTTTGGGGAAGGTTAGCAGCGGGTTCTTCTACTTTGTAAATTCTCTCCTCAGTCACTCAGGCATCATTCGCACCTACACCTCGGATGCACATTCTTCTGTTCTCTAAACCATGCGATCGTTCATACGGCCAACTAGTTGCCTTTTTCGAAATGGCCCTAACGAAACTTTTGTCATCATCCTGAGCTCTTTTTTGACTTCGTTGTACATGTTCGCTGTGAGCGTGTACTGAAACTTGACCTGAATTTTCCAGGAACGTGGGAAATCTCACCCGGTCCAGCCTCCAGGACCCACTGGGGGAGCCCAAAGGTATTCCTTCGCGGGATTTCGATGTTACGGACTGGAGCTCAGAACCCCACAAGTACACTGACCGATGTGTGTAAGGTGACGAAGGAACCTATGTGCCTCTGAGTTGATGACAACACTGCTGTAATTTAAAGAATGTCTCAACAGTCCGACGATTCCTCCAATTTGACATATTGGAATGCATCCAATCACAGGGTCCGTACGGATATAAACTACTCCAGGAGAAAGATCGGCGGACAGAATGGGGCTGATGGTTACGTCGGTCGTACGAACGAAAATCTGAAGTCGCCGAACTGTATCACAACCCCAATCTCCAATCAGGTCTGTCCCAACATGTGTGATCATATCGAAATATACGATCATACATCTCCTGCTTCTCCGATCTAGAGACTCAAGTCGGTAGACCAAATGCTTGATTATTTGATGATGTAGCCAACAAATAACGGTTTGGTGCCTGCAGCGGCCTCACTTTTAGCTCGGTCTCTCGGCCCTGACAGATTAGCTCATAACTTGAAGACTCCGTACAAGTCTCATCCACTCGGACCCCCACTGTACTCAAGCTGGCACACTTTTCATGGCAGTCAAATCACATATTCCACAACAATCTCGTTAGGCGCATTCATTGAATCTAGAAACTCGTACTTTCAAATCTTAGTACGCAAGAGACTACCGGCGAAGAGTTTGCGCATTGTACAGTATAATTCTTATCTTCACTCTTTGGATACATTTACGTGTTCATAATATCGGGAAACGGGAACTATAGATGTGAAAGTTGAAGTGCCTGCATACTGTACGCCTGATTGGAGGTAGCTGTTTGCGGTAAAATATCCGTCTACAACATGCAGCACATTTAAGTTGTGTGGTAAGTGAAAGGACCGCCATATGCATGCACGAATTTACTCCTCTGGCCTTCCTTCATAAGGCAGGACATATATATCTCGAGTACGTTCAACTCCATAGTCACAGACCTTTAACATACGAAACACTCATTGTGAAACGTTGTAAGTAAAAAAAAGTGACATGAATAGCTGAAATATTATAGTTGTCATTTCGTATAGTACATTAAAAGCTCATATAGAATGCACAGTGTAGGAAGGATAGAAAGCGAAGAGAAATCTTAGTAGATGTCTTTAGAATGGCCGCTATTAACTTCCGGACCAGTTTATGGCAAGTGAAACCCCAATTAATCATTAAACTTACGGGTACATTCGACGAAACTGTTAACAAAATTCACCAAATTCAAGTCATTTTCAATCCTCACAGTATGAAAGTCGCCTGAGACGGTAGAACTTAAACTCCTTACTATCATTAATTAGTGCTTAATTGAGTAGTAAGTTGTAGACTATTTTTTCAGAGTTTCCATGCCAAGCGAGATTGATAACTGCATAGTATACACTAACAACGCATATATACAGGCATGCCTAATTTAGGCGACTATGTAGGCCAGCGCCTATATTACCAAAATGTACTAAAATGCAGTAGTCCAGATTAATGCTGGTCGCAAATGTCAACTATCTTGCACGGCGAGTTATGTGATTCAAATCGAAAGTAGAGAACCATGATTCCATTTCCAAAGCAATTAGTACACTGTGTGGAAAGTAGATTTCCCATCTCTCAATAGGGCATATGTATCGTGAAGTCGAAAGGAGAGAGGTGTTTGATGTGCACTTCTGACCCAACTGAGTGTACAAGCTGACAGCTCTTGGTGAATTTTAAATCCTAAAGATTGGTTCCTAGCAAAGATGGTGCGATGTGGACGTACAATGTCTTGAAATGCTTGGAAGCACATGTGTCTGAGATGAATTACTCTGCTTTGTGTAAATCTGCATGTTTTTGCCCCTTCTAAACTAAACTAACCATTGGAAGTGATAAGTTCCATTTAGAGCATTGCCCTCTTGTAGAACACTTTTATAAGAGATACTAGCGTTACCTCTAGCAATCAGTATGGCTTTGATGGTAAATCTCCTCAATGTAGCGCTGAATGCAATTTATGAGATTGTTTTTGAGTATAGATACATTCTTTAGATGAGTTTAGAGTATCTACCCAGAGTTGTCTTGCCATGAGTGAAATTTGGAAGAATTTTTTTTGGTGGAAAACTACCAACCGTCCAAACTAACTTTCCTGATGAGATTAAATTAAGTTGATTTAGCTTATTTAATCTACTGACTAATATAAGCATGATCACATATATATCTAGTAAGTTCAGTTTTTTTTAAATAACTCTGAACCGTTGTATGGTAAATAGATCAAGCTCATGAATCTAAAGGGTCAAATGGCTGAAACACGCAATACAAGAAAAAAACCACGAATAAGGAAAAATACCCCAAAGATAAATTTCTAGCTAGTGCCAAAGGTAATCAATGATGTTACTAATATAACAACCTAATTAAAATAAAACTAGCTGCAATAAAAAATGCAAATTCTCCACATCTATATGATGAGCAAGTCAAATCTCTTCATACCTAAGACAAGTAACAAATACATGCTATTCATCTTCAATATATACATCATCACATAATCTACAAATACGTTCAATCCTATCAATAATAAACCAACTTAATATTTCATGACGTTGACTATGAGATCCACATCTGGGCCCAGCGATAATATGATGTAAAGACGTAGAGATTCTTGCAAATAGATATTCTTGTTCATAGTAAACAAGCATAAGATTCACATGAAGTTGATATTACTACATTTTGGTGTCTTGTCTTCTCCAAATAATGCTGAAAAATTCCTCTTGTAAAAGTTAGGGGACTGCCATAGGTTGCAAGTCCTAATCTCGTTCCGCCACATTCCACCTCAAAGACCAAGTTACTACATTTGTTACCCACCCCATTGGTACATATGGCACACAAAGTTTGAAGAGAAAATCAAGAAGCATCAAGAGATCTTACTCTTCTAATATATGCGATGGTCAAATATAGAGCTTCATCCTCTAGAGCTAGACAACCTGTTTTCGCAAAAAAAAGTATATGGAGTTTGGAATCTTACATCCAATTCTTCTTGTAGAAAGATATTTTTCACACTCTCCACATGCTCCCAACCTGTCTTCTACAAACAAAATCCCACACTTGGGATCCATATAATTGTGAACTCATAAATAAAAATTTACTAAGACTCCAAAACCCAAGATGAGCTCTTCTATATTGATTTAAAAATAAATATAGAGCTTTGTAAACACATTCTATTCTTTTTTTCACGCAAAGTGTCAAATTATAATCATAAGAGAAATCATTAACTAGATATTTATAACTCTTCATCTCTTCTAATTGTAGATACTTGTTATAGAAGTGGAATTTGAATCTAGTGTCCACTATCATAACTTTAGATTTCTTCATGTTTTTTCTCATCTGATTCTAGTTACAAAACACAGCCAAAGTGTCTAGATGTATCATAGTGTATACTACTTCAATTCATCTGAATATGGCCAAGCCACATTGAAATTAATTATTCATACAATCAGATTGAAAATTGTCTTCAGTTAGTATTGCAAAAGTTTTTAAGGTTAAGATCTCTTTTAAGGGATTCAAGAACATTTCACGTGATTTCTTACAAAATTTATTTTAAAGTTTTCTTTGTTACATATTGTTCTACTAAATTCAGCTATATGATATTGATAAAGTACACTGACTATGTGAGTTTTGGCCATATATATGTTATAGTCACAATGAATTATGATAGAAGTTATGATAGAAGAAATTCAGTCCCGTACGTAGAAGGTACATATGATAAGTTGGAAATGTACTTCCAGGGTTGGAATCAAAGAAATGTGGTCCAAGCAATATAGCAAAAGGAGGGGCATCACGTTGCACACGGATGAGTTCAAAGGACTTAGGTGGAGCTAGGCCCCAGAAGGATGGGAAGTTTGTATTTTCTAATTTGCCAATTTTGGTATATAATATTTTGTTCAGATGACATTTTTATATGGGAAGAAAGCATCAAAATAACCGATGCATGCACCCACAAACTTCATCCGTTGCGTACTCAATATTGCAGCGCACTTGGAAAGGTGGAATATCGGTCCCCGAGACTTTCGCACATCACGCGAGCACTCCACCACCTGAGATACCTTCCCAAGTAATTGAGAACGTTATGTAATTAGTGTTGTGTGAGAATATGATGCTCTGAAGATTTGAAAAGGCTTTTCTTTATTCCTCTAAGAGAACGTGCATAAAAGTGTCCTTCATTATCAGATTAATAGAGTTCCTAAAATCTCCATTAAACACTTCATATATCCGTCCGCAGTATGGAAGGAAGGCAGAAATAGATTAGAAAACAGATCAGATATGTACGACTTCTCGCCATGAAGGACTTATTTTGGTATGTTCAATAATTAAACATTGATATTATGAAATACATTTTAGAGATGCACTTTTGGTGGATCATGAAAAGCTTAGGAATGCAGGTGTAGTAATGAACCTTATAAAGTTCGAATTCCCTGATCTGGTATCAAGAAAGTAGCGTGGGAGGATATGGGGAAGGTTTTGAAAATTGCTTGAAAATTGACTATATCTTTGGTTGTCATCAAGAAGTGAGATATCATAAGAGATGAATTAAGTATATGATAATCCTTTATGTATTTTTGAAATCTGTAATAATAATGTCAAAAAAAGGAGGTGCTAGTTATCATTCACTTTGGGCTAATCATCTCTCACCATAGTATAAGGTCGACCAGGATTGGTCTAAGGTTATAGGTGACAGTGTATTCAGTTTATGTCTCTTCTGACATGGTCGGACTCCTCAAACTACGGTGGGCACTGTATCTCGCTGTGAACAACCCGCAACCCGCACGCACCTTTGACCCTCTTAGCTGAACTCGGCTCGTCCTCCTGCTCATCTGATCTGACCGAATGCCGCTGGCATGAATGTGGATTGCGGCGATGTGGTGGGCTAGCCTGATGGCATTAGGGCGGGGCAGGGGATATATGTGTGAGCCAACGGAGTTGAGGAGGGAGGGAGAGAGAGGGGCGAAGTAGGAAGTAAGTACCAGGAGCAAGACCTTCGATCCTTATCGGGACGAGGCTTCTACTTGGAAGGTAAAGGTTGACCAAGTATCCAACAGGAGCCGAACCTCCGACTGGAGAGCTTGTCAATTGATTCACTCACTCATTCAATCAGTTGCAACAGCCAATAGTAAGAGTAAACATTTTCTTCGCAGTTACATATTCTAGAATTTATCACGGTGTGCACATCGAGAGCTTTCCGTCACTGCTCGATGATCTTAGCGATTGGCTCACACATCCATCACCCGCCTCGCCCAAGTGCCGTCAAGCCAACGAAAGCCGCAGGAGCAAGCATTTGGTTAGATTAGACCAGTTGGAGGATGAGCCGAGCCCAATTGAACTGCTGCGTGAGTTCAAGGTGCCGGCGTATTGCGGGCAGTCCATAGCAGCGGAGTTAAGTGGCCACCGCAGTTTGTTTGCGAGGAGGCCAGCCATGTAAGAAGAGTCATAAACTCAATCCACTTGCACTTATAACCTTGGACCAATTCTGGTCTATCGTATACTAGGATGAGAGATGATTAGCCCAAAGTGAGGGTTAACTAGCCCCACAAGATACATCATCAAAACAAATCTCGATGAAGGAAGATTAGCGAAAAAAAAGATGCAAGATACATACTATCTTACTCCTTTTGCTCACATATACTTGTATTGGATTTAAGCTTGTAGCTATTGATGAAGAGTGCAACCTATAAGGCTTTGTGTTAATAATACAACAATACTATATGGGAATGACTAGTTATCACTCACTTTATGCTAAGTACCCCTCACCCTCAACCTGTTGACTACTATTATGACAAGTAATGTGCATTGCATGGATTTTACCTTTGATCCTTTG